ATGTCGATTGAAAGAGTCGTACGTATTAAAAGTATGAATATATTATGATACCTATTAACATATCGTTTGTGCACTTTATTTTACTTCATGTTTTCTCTATAATGCTCTCACTACATGTTCAACACGTAACATTGTAACCCAATATCAGGTGGCCTTGACCCATTTGTTTCCACCTCCCGGAACAGTTACCGTTGACCGACGACCGTCCGTTCAGTGCTGCCGCTCGCACGAGCGTACAAAATAGCGATGAAAGGGAATAGGGATAGGGCACTAACCGGCGTCACTACGTCAACCGCTTGCCGAGTAGCTACCATTTTACAGACCGTCGAGTAGCTACCATTTTACAGACCACCGACCGTCGTTATCTATCGAGTTGTCGTTCGTTGTCAGCAGGCAGCTGCTTTTATTGTCCGCCTCGGGCGTCTCATCGATACCCGATGTCCACGGCTGGACCGTAGTGGCGCACTCTATCGCGTAGTAACCACGATAACAAAATATAATCTTTTGCCATATGTATAGTTAAGAAGACGTCGCACCCGTATGCGTTGTCTCCGTCTTACACACGTACAATACAGTAAATTTTCGTTCTCCAGTTTACATGGTGTGTTTTTATTTTTGATTTCAGAGTAAATTGACCTATTATCAAATTTTTTGTCAAGAACATTTTCTGTGTTCTCTCGTTGGTTTTTCATGATATTTTAATTTTTAAGTGAGCTATGATCATTTTAAAGTATTTATATGTTTCATACTCATAACTCATTTAAAAGTTAAAATATCGTAAAATACCAATGAGAAAACACAGATAATGTTCTTAACTAAAAGTCTGATAATAGGTCAATTCACTATAATATCAAAACTAAAAGCACACTATTGAAACTAGTGAACGAAAATTTATCATGTCGTACACGTGTAAGACGGAGAAAACACATGCGGTTGCGACGTCTTCTTAATGTGTAAAGGAGTATTCACAGGCATCGATATGTTTAAAAACTAGATAGCCGACTGTGTCCTTATCAGTGATGTTTGGTAGTCACAAATTATTGTTAATACACATGTATTATATTATTATTATACGAGTATATACCTAGAACTTGGGCGATGCTTACTCATCGTTCGAATGATAAAAATCAACAAATACGGCTGATCAAATTTTTTTCTCTAGTAGCCGCATACGGACGTCGTCGTCTTATTCGTATTTAGGTACAATTTATTTGTTTAAAATCCTTCCTTTGACTAATTCGTGTTTACATTACTATCCGTGTACTTTTATTAAACTCATAGGTAATTATTAAATAATTATATTTGTGTTCAAATAATAAGTAAGTAAAAGATTCAATACTATTAGTTAATAAAATTTTAGTTACAATTTTAACTTGTTAAATAGTCATGGTTTATTATATTGTATTATATTATGTTCGTTGCCAGTCAATATTACCTATCCAAAGTTTATTTCATAGTGACATGTTTATTATAATATTTATATAATATTAGGATAGTATAAAAATAATAAGAATTTTATTAAATTTCTCAAGTGACAAATGGCAATAGGAATCATAATTCTATAAGTTGTTTGTTGTATAGAGTATCGCCTATTTAGTTATAATACATATTTATTAAAATGATCGTATTAATTATTCTTTTCTGAATTATAGGTAATTCATCTTATGACCCACTAAAAACTGTTAAAAGGCATATTATCGGCGAATAAGACATGGATACTATTTTTTCATTACTATAAGTAATAATGGTAATAAAGCAACAATCATTCATAGATATATAGATAGGTATTTAAATAAATGTATAAAATTATAGACTATGCATATTGCATCTAACTTTGATCAATATTAGGTATATATTGATCATAAAGACTACTATCTAGTTGTTATATTATATAATTATAGGTAAATCTTTAAAATATTCGTGTGCTTGTATTATCTATAGGAATGAATCTCGATTTAAGGACATCAGTTGTGTGCGTATGCATTAAAAGCCCCCCTCACTTACATATACACAATAGTAATACCTAAGGAAACACGTAATCTTTTAATTACAAATATTACTATAATGTTTTTTAATAATTATTTGCTCGATATCAGGCAGTTATAATTCATATTTAAAAAGCGTAGGACATAATAACTCGCTATCTACTCGATACACAGTTTAAAATTTATATTATTATTATTATTATTTCGGAACTCACGTATTATTAACATTGTGCATTGAATAAAATTGTTTAAAATTTTAATTAAAATAAATGAATACCAATATATTCAAAATAAATGAAAAATAATTTATTAACGTAATCTGCCTTGAGAAGAGAAGGTACAAATAAAGAAGAGTTAAAAGAGTTCGAAAATATTACGGGTACCGCCTGATTGTAAACGTGCATGCCTATGTAAATATGTTAGTTCACTATTTTATTCTGGGGTGGATTTCACAATAGGTAAAGGAAGCAGCTGCCTAGGATGGCAAAAATAAAATTAGGGAACGGGAAATTTGAAATGTCAATTTCTAAGATAAAATGTTTAAGTTAAGAATTATTAAATAAAAATATTTATTATATATCTTTTTTATATTTCTGTTATAAATTTTTTTTCTAAATAGTGGTTTTAATTTTGTTTTGTTTGTCGATGATTTATAAAAATTATCATTGTAGATTTTCATTAAAATTTGGTGAATATCCATTGTAATTTTTCTAAAGTATGCTAAATAACTAAAAACAAGAAAAAATAGTCTAAAAATTCAACTGAATTTAGGTACTATAATTTAATATTTATTTATAATATTTTGGAAGGGGTGTTATAACTTGTTTATCTATAACAGGAATGGCATATTTTTAGTGTAAAAGAGTTAAATTCGCCTTTAATTTTCTTTGTACTACATTTTAAGCGTTAACTATCTTAAAAATTATAGTTCAGTGTAGACCAACAATTATTGGTCTAATGTTTCATTTAACCCGGTAATAATAATAAAAGTATTAATCTTCAACAAACTAATGTTTAATGTCGTGTATCTACTAGCTACCTGTGTTAGAATCTTTTTCTCTACAGCTATTGTTGTGACTAATGGTGATGAACAATTCGGTTAAATCTTGTTTCGCCTTAACTATTATTATTATTTATTACTATTTAAACAATAATTATACAAATTTATTACTTAATTATTTCGATATTATTTTATTTTATTATTATTCAGTTATTGATAGTTGAAATATGTACAATGTAGATATAAATAATGTGGAATAACTAACTATATTATCTGCATCTTAGAATAAATACTATTAAGTATTTATAATAATAATAATAATAATTATCATTATTATTATTTTAATACAAACTTAAATTTTTGTTTGATACGAAGTTTCTGCATCTAGAATCTAGACGATATTTTAGTTATACATTCTCAATACTGACTTAATGCAATTCCATCCTTATGATTGACTACTGTATATTATAGTAATCGACTATTTATAAATTTAAAAAGTTAAGTTTAAAAATTGACAATGAATAACTTAAAACGTGTCAGTACATTATTGCTATTTATAACATTTTTATGATAATTAATATATTTTTTTCATTATATGTATACCTAGAATACATTTTTATGACACTCAGTCAGGTAATTTGACTACAGTAATGGCAGGTAAAAAGTGCTAGTCAAAAATGACATCATCGGGGTTCCAAAGTTCCATTTAAAATTCAAAAATTAAGAGGTATTCCCGCAAATTATTTGGATTATGTGTGGTCATTGGCCGATCATACGTATAGCATTAAAATAAAATACAATGTAATTTTTTCAAAGCATATCAAAAACATTTTTTGACTTTAATCGTATTATTGAATTACAAAACATACCAAAAATTAACATTATTTTTACCTAGCATACCCCCCTCCTAATATCATATTGCTGTAAGACCACACCTACCTATATTATTGTATTTTTCAAAGATAGTCTTATATATCGGATTATATACTTAAGTCATTATAAGTTATAATATTACAGGGTTGTCTATATTTTTGATTAGGATAAAAGAATGCGGCGAATGATAAACTTTTGAAATTATTTTAATTTAAGTAGGTAAAATTTACATAATGTACCTATAATCAGCTGTATAGCTAAATTATTATTATTTTAAGTCTTTTTAAAATTTCATTTAAAATCATAAGTTAATTTTTTATTGTTTATACAAAATTATTGATTATATAATTGTGTTAATTATAAAAAAATCAAGTTATTTTATACTTATACTGTATACTATTTAGATTTTATTAAAAAAAAATGACACGTTATGTTGCAGGAAAGCGGTAAACGTCACTCATATATGCAAGGTCTAATAAAAATAGATACAAAAGTTAAGTTAAATTTTACCTATTTAAAGCGCCAAATTTCGATTAAAATTTACGCACAATTACAAAAAACTTGTCCAGTACTCCTTGTACCCTATACTAATGGTTACATTTTAATGAAGTATGTACTAAGATGGCTAATTTCAGTCATGAGTGGTTAGTTAATCTTTATATGTGGAGAGTACTTAAATTATTAATATTAATCGTGTTTGTTGACACAACTAATAACCGTTAATACGCTTCAAAAAAATAATCCTAAAATATTAATATAGTTAAAATAATAAAATATAGTTATTTTTATTGGTTACGTTTTAAAAACTAGAGAATGTTTGAATTATTAAATTATTATTTTCAAATTTTCAAAATTATATTTAAGGGTAAACAGGCGCGTACACAAAAAAATATTTTGGGGGGGGGTTTTGGTTTTAAATTGTTATTCTTATATAATCTAACCTAACGTATAGCCTAACATGAAGTTTACACAATTTCAATTATAGTACTATTTATTTATCATAAAATTCGTAATTATTAAAAAAAAAAATCAAATAATATTTAGAAACATGTATTTTTCATTTTTTATAATATAAAATCTTTTTTTCGAGGTAGTCTTGCAAATCTGTTAATGACTTCGTCAATATCAATGTCATAATTTCTCTAAATATTCATGAGCGATAATTCTGTTAGTCGGTCTTGTCCAATATTATTTCTTAAATAGGTTTTCAGTCTCCGCAATGTTGAAAATGAATGCTCTGCAGTAACAGTTGTTACAGGCAAAGTAGCTAATATTGTTAAAAGGCACTTTATATTTGGATAGAAATCACTAGACATTTGACTTAGGGTAGTTAATAAACATTTTGGGCGATCATCATCAGATACATTTTGCCACTGTGTTTGCCAGATTTTAATTTCAGTATCAAACGTATCGAAATTAGGTAATAATGGTTTGTAAAACAATGCACATTCCGTAAATTTGTTTAAATATGTAGTATTTTGAGTTATGTACTTAGGAATTAATGATTGTATAGTGGACATTACACGATGATGTTTAGAAAATCTTTCTTCTAGTTGAAGAATAAAATGATCTAATAAAGGCAAAAAAATAGTCCGTTTATAGTATTGTTCTGGTGAATCAGCTGGTGTGTTATCTCGACAAGTTTGCCGACCTACTGTTCTGGACAATGAAATAGACATAATATCACCGGCAAGCATTACTTTTTCGCAATCAGAAAAAAATATTTTTAAAACTCTCATCTGAGTTACTTCTCTTTTCAATTAAAATTGTACGCACGTCATCAACTCTTTCATAACAATAAGATAAATCTATATTGACTTTTTGTAATGCTATGCACAGAGGTAAGGTTAGAGAAAATATGTTTTCAATTACGAATAAAGAAATTACAAAATTCGAAGCGCTAATGGCATTAGATAATTGAAATGCAGTTTTTGATGTTTCAATATTAGAACTACTCTCCAATTGTTTTAAAGCATGATAAATACTCAAATACAACTCTTTGAAACGAGTTATACTCTCGTGACGTTCAATCCATCGAGTTTCGCACATTCGTATTAAAGTTGACTGACGACTATTTGGAACATATTTTTTAATACATTCAATTAAAATATATGATCTCTGTGAAGAAGATCGAAAAAATGTAGCGACAGAGGAAATCGTTCCGATACAATTTCTTATAGCCACAACTTTGCACGAACTACTTATCGCCAAGTTCAGTGAGTGAGCTGCACAATGAACATATAATGCATATGACACCTCACTTGCGATATATTTTTGAACACCTTTGAACTGCCCGCTCATAGCCGCGGCCCCATCATATCCTTGTCCGACAAGATATTGTTTTTCTAAACCAAATTTTTCAATTTGTTGCATTATTGTTTTAGATAAACCCTCACCAGTCAAATTTTTTGCTACCACAAACTCAAGATAGTCTTCTCGAATACAATAGGTTGAGATATCAACATAACGCACACAAATTGACATTTGTTCCAATCGGGAAATATCTTGAGTTTCATCCACTAAAATCGAAAAATACTTTGATGCTTTAATTTTTGATATTATATTTTCTTGAATTAATTCCCCGCATATTTGTATTAATGTATTTTGAATATTAGGACTTGTATAAGAAGTAAATGTAGTCGAATTTTGTAGATGGTTTTTCAATATAGAATCTGTTTGCGCTTTAAATCTTAATAACGATCGAAAATTGCCGTCATTTACTTCAGAATCGTTTTCATACATGTGACCCATGTCGCGATGGCCCCTCAAAGCGATGTTTTGGCGACCACATAATATTATTGTTTCTATAATAGAAAAAAGTATAGTTCGGTTTTCTAACACTTGTTTTATACGTGAAGAATCAATTTCATTTACGATAGATTTTTTTTTATTTTCCATTATTTTTATAAAATCGTTGGCCCGTATAGTGGATAATTTATGATATTCGCTTTTTGAATGTTGGTTAAAACGTTCAATTGCGTCTTTCCATTTTGTAAAAGGTACTTTAATTAGAGCTCCTAATTTTCGATGTGAACCTTTACCAGCAAAATCATTCGAACACAATACGCAAATTTTACATAATGCACCTTCTACATGTTTGGAATAAACTAACCACGCATAGCGCCTAAACCAATCAGTTTGAAATTTTAAACGTCGGTTTTGAGAAATAGGAAACTCATAATTATTAGGTGGAATCCATGGGTGCTTTAATAATTTATACTTTTTAGCGTCATCAATTGCATTGTTATTTAAATAAAAACCTATGTCTTGATTGTTATTATCGAATAATTCGTCTGATGAAGAAACTAACCTTTTGTTTTCTGTGGTATTTACAGTTGTATTGCTGTCTGGTGCAGTTATTAAATCTTTTTTTAATTTTTTGACACCAAAGTTTAATAATGTTGATTGATTAGAATTATTCCTTTTCATTTTTATTAAGTTTTACTATGCATTCAAACTTACACTTAATCTTACGATCGCCAAATACACGTATAAAATGTTTAAACTCTAAAGACAAAATGATTGACGAGTGACACGTGTCAAACATATTATACTAAATTGACAAAAGACATTTCAGATATTATATTATCGTTATCGCATCGGCAATTCCGTAAAACTTCGTTCATTGTTGCTATTGTAATAAAAATGATATCGGCTTGCATCAGGGTTTCATATGAAATCTATATTTATTTTGATGTGGTTATGTAGTGGTCCGATTGACGATTGTAGATACTGATCGAGTACAAAACAAGAATGTAATTCATATTACGATGGCAATGAGGGCAATTAAATAAAACTAAACTCATAAATAATAAAACTTGTTTCCTGAAATTTCGGGGGGGGGGGGGGTTGAACCCCTAAAACCCCCCCTTGTGTACGCGCCTGAGGGTAAATTATAATTTTAAAATTAAGAATATGCTATAGACCGATTAATGCATAGTAAACATTTTTATAAATTTCTATATTATTAAATTTTTAAAATAGAACTTTACAATATGTAGTACCTTTATATATTTTCCAGACTTTTTTAAGGTCAATTTTATGCGAAATTCATGCAGCGGGGTCTAACTTCTATTTTATATAATTAACTTATATACCACTTTTGTATAACTAACTGGTTTCCTTATCAGTAAAATGTCGATATAGCTATACTTAAATAGATACTACCTAAATTTAATTAATAATAATTATTAAATAAATTTAAGTGTAATCTTTTTTTTTGCCAAGTTCTGTGAAATTTCTTTAGGTATAATAAAAAAAAACAAGATACGAATTTTTCAGTCATCTAAAATATGCTGTCGAAGGCTGGTGTTTATTGTAGTTTTACAGTCACGCCTTTCGACGGAGACGCAAAAAATATAAAAATCCACAAAAATGTACTACTTTTTGATTACAGTCTCTAGTCACAGAATCTATAACATTCAACTTAATATGTTTAGTTCACAAGAGCGCGCTGTTATATACAGGGTGATACTTTAATAGAAAAATACTCATTATTTCAAAAAATATTTTTTTAAATATTTTTTATTCACATAATTTCTTGTTGAAATTAATCATTTTTTTAAAGCCATTCTATTTTTTTATCGTTATTATATATTTTTTAGGTAATTCACTTTTTTGAATGACAACATACATTCTTAATTTTATGTTCTGAAACAAAATATTTTTTAAGGTATTTCGATGCATAAAAATCGAAATTTGGACGATTAATTTTTAATTAGAGGTACTGGAATAACTCACAAAACGTTGGTTTACTACTTCGCTTACCAAAATATAAATATTTGTAACTCATATACTACTTATTTGATATTAATTTTATTTATCGAAAGTCTCCGAAAAATATTCTACTTTAGTTTTTAAAGTTATACATTTTTGTTGTCATTCAAAAAAATAAAAAAAAATTACAAAAATTTACATAAAAAAATGTAATATTTTTTAAAATGTTTAATTTTAACTAGAAATCATGTAAAAAAATATTTATAAAAACATTAATATATTTTGAAATAATGATGTTTTTCCAATAAATGAATCACAGAGACACAGAGTTAAGTGATTTGGTAACATTATTGCCAAAGAAACAATGTACGTTACGGCGGCTAGTTAAATAGTATCGTTGTTGTGAACAGCGTTACTGTTTGTAGTCGGTTAGATTAAAAACGCATCGTGGTTATTTTAGACGAAACTTGAGGCTGTTATAACAAATATTGAAATATAGATGAAAATCTCTGATTTATATTTATATTGATTTGTATAGAGCTATTAAAATAATACATTTTGTACTAAAAATTATAATATCACCTTTAATTAAGGCCATGTCTTGGGTACAATTTATGTGAAAAATACATCGGATTAATATCAGTTTACATGAACCATTAAACATTAAATGAATCAATAGTGAGCTGATGGTCCCTATGATTTAGTGACCCATTTCATTTTATTAAACCATTAAATTAATTAATTTTTCTATGTAATTAAATATATTATATTTGAATATGTGTCTATTCCTAATATTATTATGCATTAATAATACATTTACATTTAGTTTAGACTAAAGATTAAAGAACACTCAAAAGTACTGGAGCCTGGAGGTAGTGTCCTCACACATCTTAAAATATATGCGTTTATAAAAAATAACAGTGGCGCCTAAATTAGTTTTTAGAGGTATTGTAATAAAGCATACTTACAAAGCAAGTACCCACCCACCTATCCACAATAGGTTAGGGTAGTGATTAGTGGGTATGGGTCATCAAATTAGTTATTTATAGAAATCAAATGCGGATATTACATATATTGTGTTTTAGTGTTTATAACTGACGTCTAACTGATACGGAAATATTAGTTAATACAACTTTATTGTCATAAAGTAATTATAATATTAGTCAATGTATAAGCGTTTATAGATTTATCATAATTCATGCTATGATGACATTAAAACTATTATTATTTTAACTGGCGTGTTTCGTGAATCGTAGCCTTACCACGCCCACCCAACCTTAACTAGTATTGCGATTGCAATACCTGGATTTAGGGATCAGCGTCACTGATAAATAATATGAGAATTTGTTCAAAAATTTAGAAATAAATAAAATAATAAAATAGTTTTATTATCATGGATTTAATTAACCATTATTACTTTGTAAAATACTTAATTAAAAAAACTGAAAAAATTGTTTTTCAAATAATATCAGCATTATTGGTTGTTGGAGTAGGCACAAGATACCGTACCAATACAGGTGATTATACCTTTTTTGATAAATTTTATCCTGGATTCAATTGGTGTTACTTTTTAGGCATTTACATATAAGCAGAAATTGGAAAGAATTTTTCTTGTCTAAGTTCCTTGAATTGCCAATGGACAATAAAATATTATTCAGGATGTGAAAAGTAGGTGAGTAGGTACATCTCTGCTTATAGTATTTAAGTACTCTGAATTATTTTAGTCACAAAGTCAATTTAATTTCCGCCTAGACTAAAAATAACATTTTTTTTTTCAAAATATTTTCAATCCAATATTTTTTGAAATTATGAAATTACTTTGTGGGTGTTAGTTATAGTTATATGTATAGGAATGCTTCCGCCTTCACAATTTCAACGTTTGTAATATATAAACTACACTCTAGTTTGTCAGGTTAAGTTACAAAAATAACTTAACCATTATTTATAAATAAATGTACACATATGAAGTTAGCCTAAGCATTAGATAATTAACATAGGATTTTTTTTTCTAAATTCAATGACTTAATTTTAACGTAGAAGGTATAAGGACTATATTATCTTAGAACTAGTTTTGATTTAATTAGTTAAATATTAATTTTTATTTATTTTAAAACTATAAATTAAATGTGATTATAATACAATTAAATAAGTCCCTAGCTTTTATCAATAAATAACACATGTTATTAAATTTTTTAATTAGGTTGTTAATGGATTATTTTATTAATAGCGCTTGAAAATTATGTTACAACTTAGGGTCATTAAAGGTCGTTTAAAATTGTGGTATTTTAAAAATAGATGACCAAAGAGATATGTACTTGACTATAAGTATTATTTTATACTTTTAGTCATTAAGTAGGTCATTGACCACTGTTGAATGAAAACGTGGTCAATTTGAATTGAATAATAAATCATTGTCTACGAAAAATGATTCTATGGAGCAACGGCGTCTTTGATTTATAGGAATATTTTATAATTTATTTTTAATAATTTTATTTTTTGCAATTAGAAGTACCTACTGTCAATTTAATTTAATTTTATCAAAAACTAATTTCATGTATTATAAATATAATAATGAATAACCTACATGAATATTTTTAAAAATTATTCAGAGCGTAGATGGTCTGTCAGAGCGTCAGGCAATATCACTATAAGTATATTTTATCATGATATGTTTTTTTTTATATGTGTATTTAAGTCATTTATTTTAATATTAGTATTACGGTAGGTTGATATTTTTTTTTTGAAAAAATTGCATTTCTAATATTATTAGTATTTAATTTATTTCAATTATCATAATGATGTGTATTTATACCATATTATATCAACTTATATGACTTAAAATTTAATATCTTTCTGTAAATACCTCGTTCTTAAATTAAAATAATGCCAAAAAAACCGGCATTGGTAAATTGAGTCCTAAATGACCCTAACTCGGTAAATTGAGTCTCAGGAAAAAACAGGTAGTAGGTAAATTGAGTCCCGGGGAAAAACGATTTATATGCATTTTAAATTTAAAAATATGCTTGCAAACATGCACTAACGTCAGAATATGCAAAAATATGCACTATACAATTTTTATTTGTGATTTGTGGACATATATTGACTGCATGTATAAGATTTTGAAATAATTATTATTTATTATATAATTATTTTTTTCCTCAACGATAAAATAACGATACACTCTTAGCAACACCAAAGCATTCACAGTCAATAAAAGTTGATAACTTTGTAACATCGTACCTTTGATTAAACGTAATTAAGATACTAATAAGTAAGGGCTTGTTCGTACCTATATACTAAATATACGTATATACGGTATCTTACTATTTCACTGATTTTTATGATGGATCTTATAATAAAACACAAACAAACGAATGTACGATATCTGGGCTATTTCATTATATTTTTAGTAGCGTACTGTATAAATTACAAATAAAAATTTTGTAGTGCATATTTTTGCATATTCTGACGTTACTGCATGTTTGCAAGCATATTTTTAAATTTAAAATGCAAATAAATCGTTTTTCCCCGAGACTCAAATTACCTACTACCTGTTTTTTTCCGGGACTCAATTTACCGCTTTCAAAATCGGGATAGTCGAACTGCACTCGTTTAAAAATAGAGTTAAGATGGAAAAACTGTGGAAACTTGTTACGAGTCGAACGTGTATAGTGAAAACCCGTTAAAAATATTGGGAATCTTATGTTTATGAA